AGGATGCCAAGTATATTTCATTTTCTTTGACCTTAGCGCCTTGGGTGACCCTGCTGGGAGTAAGAGATTCCCGACGGCTTCACTCACAAGGGTCATAGGAATGTGCAAGCTCACTCACAATGACAAGGTGATGATCCAGCGAGTGAGAGAACTGAGATAGATAGGAGGACTATGTTTAGGGCACCGTTTCCAGCCCCTCCCCCTTTTCGGGGTGAGCAGAGTGGATCCTAAAAAGGGCTGCTCAGTCATGGATACAGCTGCCGAGCTGCTCAACTGCCTCGTTCCTTGAGTCAGAATGACTGAATCTGTATCCACCGCCCATGTGCTGGTTCATGACTAGAGGCTTCCAGATTTCACATTCCTGCCCCCGTAACCATTTGCTGATCGCCATGGCACTTTGGGGGGTTTGGGTTGGGTTTTCGGAAGAAACCTGTGCGTGAATTTGTTTTATGTGTGTAGATCAGTGCACGCCGACCAACGCACAGTCTTCGCAGTAGGGCTCTGTTCTGATGGCATGAGTAGTCACGACGAACTGGTGGATCCTATATGCTGCAGCCTTCATCCGCCTTCACAGCCATTGTAACACACCACTTGTTATCATCTGCCTGTTCTGCTGTGGAGGACTTCTTGGATCATTCTTTGTCTAGCTCCTTCCCTGTTATGCACTAAGCTTGGATCCTAGAACAATAGACAAGTAGGATCCTAGAACGCAACAACTGATTGGCTTGCAGGAAAAGACCAATCAGGCTCCAGGAGGGAAGTAGAATCAGCCAGTCAGACAGGACTCATTGTAAAAATAATGTATATAAAAGCCTGAGGTTTGGGGGGAAATTCAATCACTGTTTTACAAGCTGCAATAAAGAGCATGAAATCACTACAGGATGCCAAGTATATTTCATTTTCTTTGACCTTAGCGCCTTGGGTGACCCTGCTGGGAGTAAGAGATTCCCGACGGCTTCACTCACAAGGGTCATAGGAATGTGCAAGCTCACTCACAATGACAAGGTGATGATCCAGCGAGTGAGAGAACTGAGATAGATTGCACTGAGCCCTGGTCTCTTCAGACAAAGCGTTCCACCAAAAAGGCTCTGGCTCTGGTTGAGGACAGCTGGATATGTTTTGGGCTAGGGACCACCAGTAGGTTGCTGTTAGATGAGTGTCACACTCATGGGGGGTGTATTGGAAGATAATTCCCACAGATAAGAAAGGTCACAGACTGTTTAGGGCTTTAAAGATTAGCACCAAAACATTGAACCTGATTCGATACTCCACCTGGAGCCAATCCAGCTGATGAACAACCAACTGAATGTGGGCTCTCTACAAAGTCCAAGTAAGAACTCATGCATCTGTATTTTAGACCATTTGGAGTTTCTGGAGCAGTCTCAAGGGTAGCCCTGCATATCTCTCTCTCTCACTCTCTATCACATTTATACCCTGCACTACCTGGCTCAGGTGTACAGCAAGTTAAAGTAGTCTAGTCTGCAGCTGACTACTGCGTGGATCACCATGGCTAGGTTGGAAAGGGACAGGTACGGTACTGATCGCCTAAGCTGACATAGATTCAAAAATCCCAGTTGGGCTACATTTGTGACCAATGCCTCCATAGAGACAGAAGCATCCAGGATCACACCGGGACTCCTGATGGCGGCTACAGGTGACTATTGCGCCCCATGAAGAGCTGGGAGCTGGCAAACCAAACTGAAATTATTCTGGCCCAGCCATTGGACGCCCATCTTTAATGGATAGAGATTCAGCCGACTCCGTTTCCTCCATCCCAGCACACCCACCTAAAAATTGGCCAATATATCCAGGGTAGCATCTGGCCAGGGCCATGAGGCAGTAGATCCATGATGTTTGTGGTCAGATCTGTGGTTATGTACAAGATATTTGAATAAAGGGTGAATTTGGGGTGCCCCAATGCAAAAAGCGTGAGGATCCATGAGGATCCGTGCTTCAAAACCACGTTTTTGGGTCATGGAGTGGCCAGGAAGCCGTGCATTGAAGTTTTTTGTGGTGCAGGCTGTGCCCATGGCCATGATGTGTGATTTGACAGTGATTTAGGTGTGGCCTAATGCAAAAGCGTGAGGATCCATGAGGACCCGTGCTTCAAAACCACGTTTTGGGCCACGGTATGGCGAGGAAGCCGTGGATCCGAGTTTTGTGTGGTGAAGGCAGTGCCCATGGACATGATGTGTGATTTGACAGTGAGTTTGGGGTGGCCCAATGCAAAAAGCGTGAAGATCCGTGAGGATCCGTGGTTCGGAACGTTTTTGGGCCACGGTTTCACCATGAAGCCATGGGTCTGTGATTTTTGTGGTAGATGCTGTGCCCCTGGCCATGATGTTTGATCTGATAGTGACTTTGGGCTGGTCTTGTGCAAAAATCATGAGGATCCATGCTTGAACCACGTTTTGGGCCACGGTATGGCCAGGCAGGCATGGATCCGAGTTTTTGTGGTGTAGGCTGTGCCCCTGGCTATGATATGTGATTTGACAGTGAGTTTGGGGGGGCCCAATGCAAAAAGTGTGAGGATCCATGAAGATCCGTGCTTCGGAACCACGTTTTTGGGCCACAGTATGGCCAGGAAGCCATGCATCTGTGATTTTTGTGGTGCAGGTGGTGCCCCTGGACATGATGTGTAATTTGACGGTGAGTTTGGGCTGATCTAGTGCAAAAATTATGGGGATTCATGAGGATCCGTGTTTTTTAACCATGTTTTTGCGCCATTGCGGCACCACGAAACAGTGGTTTTTTTGGTTCTGCCTACAGACTAAGATGTGGTCTAGAGTATCATGGTGTTTTTATTTTGTTACAGTATAAAAATCATATGAATTCATGAGGATCCATGCCTCGGATCCATGTTTTTGAGGTGCTGCAGAGCGGCAAAGTGTTGGATCCACGTTTTTTATAGTCCAGTCTGATTTGACACTGGATTTGTTGGAGTTATTTTTTTAAAAGTGGAGGATCCATGAGGATCTGTGTAGATCCACCTTTAACCCAGACCCTTAAGCATGTAAGGAACAGTGAAAACACAAGGCACTTCGGTTTCAGCTGAATGCTGGCTCTGCTCAGAGTAGGTCCACTGAAACTGGCTGGCATAACCAACGCATAGCTTAGTCGAATGCAACCCACCGTCTCCCATTTCATCCTTAACTGGACGAAACCCCGCCCATTCCATCCTCACCAACGTGTGTGTGTGTGTGTGTGTGTGTGTGTGTGTGTGTGTGTGAGAGAGAGAGAGAGAGAGAGAGAGAGAGAGAGAGAGAAAAGGAACCTTGCTGGCTCAAAGACGCCTAGCTCAGTTGAACTTCGCCTCTCCCTTAGCGCCAAACAGCACGTATTTGCAGACAAAGTCCTATTAATATGCTCGGAAACACCCTTAGCAAGCCTGCACTCACCCACACCCCAGCTCCACATACAGCTCTAGTCCCCTCACACAAACCTCCACGCCCACAGCCCCAACACACAGACAGAAAGATACACGCACACCCCGCATCTCCCCCACACGCAGAAACCCTCCCGTCGGAAGTTGGAAGGCCTCGTCTTCTTCATCCATGTCCCGTAACATCCTAACGGCCCCTCGGCTCAGCCCAAGCCGGGAGGCGAGTGCCGCAAAGTGCGGGGCTGCAAATTCTCGGCCGTGGCGCAAGCGCTAGTCTGTGGAGGCGAAAGCAGGAAGCGAAAGCGGCCGGCGGCATTACCGGTCACCAAACGGCCCAAACTTCCAAGCGGAAGAAAAAACCGCGTCCAATGGGGCGCTAAAGATCCGCCGCTGCCGCCGCCGCCGCGATTTTAGCGGCGGGGCTCTTATGTATGACGGAAAGGGAGAGGGACACGGCTAGACCAATGGGAAGCTGGTTTCTGGAAGAGGGAGGCGGGAGGGCGGGTGACGCTCGCTTGATGCTGCCCAGTGAGGTGGCGCTTCCGCTCGCCGGGCGAAGGAGGGACACGTCTGAGGAGGTCGAGGGAAGGAGGAGAAGGCGAAGAAGGATTAGGTAGCTAACTTCCGATTCTTTTCATTGTGCTATTTACACTTTGTTAGACAAAACACATTTCTTCTTATTTAGCTTTCTCATTTTATATCAATAAGCTTTACTATGTACATTCTGGATATTCCAAGATTCATTCTAGGTCAGTCAGGAGATTAACATTGCCACTGATATTCCTGAAATGTTATCCAGTCTTTATTAATTTTTTGTATTGAATTTCCTCTTATTCTCCTTGTTGTTCTGGAAAGTTGTAGATCTATCATTTTTGCTTGCCAGTCCGTTTTTGTGGGGATGATATCACTGTTATAGAACTTATAACATCACCTTTCCAATTCCTTGCTATTAAAATCCTGGCTGCTGTGGTTGCATACATAAAGAGGGGTATGTGATTTTTCTTAATTTCCATGGACTTAATACCTAACAGGAAGGCTTTAGGGTTTTTTGGGAAATGAGAATTTGAAGATCTTTTAAAGTTTATTATAAACAGTATCCCAGAATTCTTTTATCCTCTTGCATTCCCGCCACACGTGTATAAAGGTACCAACCCCACTTTTGCACCTCCAAGAAACATCTGAACTGTTTTTTGTACATCTTGGCCAATTTGGCCGGGGTTAGGTACCACCTGTACAGTGGTACCTTGGGTTACATACACTTCAGGTTACATACACTTCAGGTTACAGCCTCCGCTAACCCAGAAATAGTGCTTCAGGTTAAGAACTTTGCTTCAGGATGAGAACCGAAATCATGCTCCGGCGGCGCAGCAGCAGCAGGAGGCCCCATTAGCAAAAGTGATGCTTCAGGTTAAGAACAGTTTCAGGTTAAGTACGAACCTCCGGAACGAATTAAGTACTTAACCCAAGGTACCACTGTATAACATCTTCATCACATTTTCTCTAAGATTATAGCATGCAGTGAATCTTATGTCCTCCTTCCACAGCCTTTCTCACTCCTCCATATATATATATATATATATATATATATATATGTGTGTGTGTGTGTGTGTGTGTATATATATATATATGTGTGTGTGTGTGTGTGTGTGTGTATATATATATATATATAATGTGTGTGTGTATATACATACATACACACACACACACACACACACACATTGTGTCCAATACCTTGGGCCCAGTGTATCATAACCCATTTTACTTCCTCCTCCTTGACTTCCCAGTCACTTAAGTCACATTCAAAGCAGATGCTTCCCTCCCCCAAAGGATCCTGGGAATTGTAGTTTGTTCATCGTGGAGCTACATTTCCCAGCACCCTTAAACTTAAGTTCCCCGACTGGCTGCATAAACATCATACGTTTAAAGCATGTGTCTTTCCCCCAAAGAACCCTGGAAATCGTAGTGTACCTCTCACTGGGCTACAGTTCCAAGCACCCTTAAACTAAAGTGCCCAGGGTTCTTTGTGGGGAATGTGCTTTAAATGTGTGGCATTTGTGCAACCTGGTTGCATATGCAACATACATTTAAATTGTGCCCAGGGTTCTTTGTAGGGAATGTGCTTTAAATGTGTGGCATTTGTGCAACCTGGTTGCATATGCAACATACATTTAAATTATATTTCCCCCCTTCAAGTTCCCCAAACCCTTAACAGACTACAGTTCCCAACATTCTTTTGTGGTGAGGGGGAATTGTGTGCTTTAACAATGTAGTGTGTTCACAGCCTCAGTTGTTTTACTGTGTAAGTCGCTTTGAGGTACCTGAATGCAAAAATGTCACTAATAACTGTAAAATAATAAATAAAAATAAAATGAATTGAGCGAAGAAGAGCAAGGATCGGTGAAAGCAGAAGATGGGCAGAAGAACTCTGTTGCTGGATCAAGCCAAAGCCTATCTAATCCAGCTTTCGGTCCTGACTGAGGCCAACCAGATGGATGTCCTCATGGAAAGCCCACAGGCAGGAGCTGAGTGCAACTACAGTGCTCCCCACTTGTGAATCCTAGCAGCTCATATTCAGACGCAGACTGCCTCCAACAGTGGAGGGGAGACAGGCATCATGGCTAGTAGCCATTGCTAGCCTCTTAAAGCCATTATTGTTTGTGAGTGAGTGTGTGGAATGGCGAGAAGGATGGGACCGGAATGTTGAATTTAAATGGGATTTGTAAAGTGTAGGGGACTGAATGAAATGGGTGACAAGATGAAGAAGTGGGTTAAGGGAAAGAACATGAGAGTGAATGTAGGCGAGAGACAGAGGCCAAATGAGAAAGGAGAGTGGTGGTAGAGAATGATCAGCTGGCTGGACTAGTAGAGGTTAATGTTATAGGGAAATGGGGAGGTGTGTATTTATGACCAGCAGGCCTTCCAAAGTGCCGTTCTAGGAAGTGATGTAACCTGCCTTCCTAACTCTCTAGTTCTTTTATGTCCAAACAGTTTATTTGAGGGATTTTTCCTTTTATGTTTTTCAAGACTGGGCTAGAAAGAATCTCATTTTCCAAGCTGGTGAAGAAGTGTTTGCTGGTTTGGAAGACAAACAGGTTCAAAATACAAATAAATCAATAAATCTGTACAGTGGATGCTTGGGTTGCGAACGTGATCTGTGCGGGAAGCACGTTCGCAACCCGCAGCGCCGTGTCTGCGCACGCGCAGGTCGTGATTTGGCGCTTCTGCACATTCACAAAGCGTGATTTAGTGTTTGTGCGCATGCACAAGCACCGAAACCCGGAAGTAACCCGTTCCGGTACTTCCAGGTTCGGCGCGGTGCGCAACCCGAAATCACGCAACCCGAAGCATCTGTAAGCCGAGGTTTAACTGTATTGTATGGGAGTGGCTTGTGTGAAATTTTTTTCCCCACCCTTGCTTTGGAGGTGGTAGTGTTGTAGGGCACTTCCTAGATAGGTGGACAGGAGTAGGTGGATAAGCATTCTAGGCATCTGGTTTCCCAGGCTCCAAGAAGTGTAAAGGTGGCACTTAGAGCTTCTCAGGAAACCGTTTTTGCAGGTGTAGTCTAATTCTTTCTGCCCAGAAATGCACCCTTAGTTATCTTCTTCTGTGCCTCAGGTTCCATTTCTGGGCTGTTGTCCAGGATCTCCTGGTTTAGAATGCCTTTGTCTGGAGAGTTGGCTAGGCATGTTCCCAGAATAATTAAGAACTGATTTTAAAAAAGCTTTTACACTCTTGGAGATTAACTTTGTAAAACAAAACACCAAAAAACACCTTTCTATAGTAAGAGTTTCTCTCAAAATGTGATTTGAAACTTGAGAGTTTAGAAGCGAGCTGTATTTTCCCTATCAATTGTGTCTTTGAAAACTGCATCACCAGAAACAGCAGATTCAAGTTCTTTGTACTCATTCAAATCCTAACAAATGTTGGTTAGATCGGACAAATAGCTGAAGAGGAAACTGAGCTGGTGTAGCCAATAATGTGGGATTTAAGAGGTTTGGTGATGCATCTTACTCTCAACATCCATGACTCTTGCATTGAACAAGTGGTGTGCCTTTCATTCCCACACACTGCTCTAGTAATGTTTGCAGCTGAACCCTACATTTCAAGAAAGTTGCAGGAATCAGTGAACAGAAGCATTGCTGATTTTTCTACAATGTCTTATAACAAGCTTATAAAGTTCGTGTGGCCTGGGTAGCCAATTCAAAATTTGTGGTCACCAGAACATGCCCTTGCTACAAAGGGCCTGCTGCACCACTGGAACACAGTGCAAGATGAAGGACAAAGATGCAAGGGTGTGGTATCTTTCCCTGTCTCTGCACCTGCATCATCTTCCTCCAGCTCAGAGCCAGAAAGGTTAGACAGAGGTTTGTTTTGGCTCTCTGTTCACACCCAGCAAGTGCAGAACTAAAGCAAGCTGTAGGCTTCTAACCATGTTTGGGACTGTGGAGGGAGTAATTATTTCTACTCCTCTGCAGCTCTAATGTCGGAAGAAGGCCTCAGACTTGACTCACTCGCAAGAGCATGTCTGACTCCTCGCCCTGATAAAGGGAGCAAGTAGGCCTTTTTTCTTCTAATAAAGAGTTAACTTCACTTACTCCGTATGATTTCTTGCTGGCTGGCTCCCTGAGAACAAACTACCACAGAAGGAGCATGGTGTATCCTCCACCAAAGGTACTACCTCTCCTCTAACACCCCACACACTAATAACCCACACACAGGCACTGTCCAGGATTCAAAATGGCACCCAACATCCAAACATCAATGAAGAGCCCCCCCTCCTCACCTTGAACACTCTTGGGCTCAACCTAGCAATCATGTCTCTACTTGTGGCTTAACATATGCCACAAAATGGGCAAAGTCACGCCAAACTGAGATTTCAGTCTGCCATCCTGAGATTTCAGTCTGCCATCTTGATTCAAAATGGCACCCAACATACAAACAGCAATAAGGTCTGCCGCCCCACCCTGGGAACCCTCATGCCAAGTTTGGTATTATAGATGGAGAGTTGTTCAATTGTATAGAGGGCAAATGGGCAAACCATTTCCCAAAATATCAGTCAGCTCAACATATTCCTGCAGCATGACATTGAAAAAGTGTGGGAGGGAAAGTTGGACTCCCCAGAGTTGGAATTAATAGATGGCAGAAAAAGCCAGTGTCTTGTCAATACATACCGTATTTTTCGCTCGATAACACGCACCTGACCATAACACGCACATAGTTTTTAGAGGAGGAAAACAAGAAAAAAAATTCTGAATGAAACAGTGGATGTATCATTTTTGTGCTTCATGCTGTGGCCACAGACATGTGATTTGACGGTGAGTTTGGGGTAGCCCAATGCAAAGATCCTGAGAATCCATGTGGATCTGTGCTTTGTAACCACATTTTTGCACCATTGCAGCCCTGTTTTTGCATCAGATCATTGCTATGTGATCTGATGGTGAATTTGGGGTGACCCAATGCAAAGATCCTGAGGATCCATGTGCATCCGTGCTTTGGAACCACGTTTTTGCACCACTGCAGCCCTGTTTTTGCATCAGATCATTGCTATGTGTTCTGATGGTGAATTTGGGGTGACCCAATGCAAAGATCCTGAGGATCCATGTGGATCCGTGCTTTGTAACCACGTTTTAAGTGGGGAGGGAAGGAAAAACATAAAAGGGACAAGGAGCACCGAGAGGGGTGTGCGGAGAAGCAGCTGGCTAAGAATGCAGGAGAGGGGTTTTACCGGAGGGAGGAAAGGAAGGCAAAAGTTCCCCCCACGCACCCACCCAAGCCAGCCAGCTCTCTCTCTTTCTTTCTCTCTCCCCCCCCCCACCTGCATGTTGCAGCACCGGAGCACGGAGAGGAATTAGAAGGAAGGACGCTCTGCTTTCCCCTCTGCTTGCCTGGAGGGGAGGGGTTTTCTCTGCTCTTTGTTCCGTTTGAGCAAACACAGTAACAAACAGAAGCGGGTGGGCAGTAAGACCCTGAGGCAGAATGCAGGAAAGCAGCAGCTTCCTCTTTTCAAGGCTTCCCTTCTCCGGACGATTGATATTTGTCTGATTTTTGCCTTCACTCGCGCCTGTCGGCTCCAGGGACCACACATTCGCTCAATAACACGCGCAGACATTTCCCCTTACTTTTTAGGAGAAAAAATCTGCGTGTTATAGAGGGAAAAATACGGTAATTCCATTTAAAAGCTGTTAAATCATGAGTCCCAGCTCTTGGGAGCAGGAAAGAAGGGACTGGGGGCGATTCACTGCTAAATGTATTTATGCACTGGCTCAATGGGAAAACTTTAGAAATTCATAGGAAATCACTCATTGTATCAATCTTCTCAGTTCCAAGGGCATTTAGGACCCAGGAAGTGAGGTATAAGGGGAGGGGTGAGTGAGCCCACCATGATTCCTGAGATGTACAGTCACATCTGCAGGGCCTTTCCAAGGAGTCATGGCCAGTGATATCCTGCCCTAAGAGTGTCAGACAGATAACCACCTCATTCACAATGCCTATCCACCCATAGTGGGATGAAGCCAGACAAGACAAAGGGGTGTATTTGATTTGACTCAGGGACCAAGGAGCTGTAAATACTTTCCTTTGTACTGGGATGGGAGCAAATGTGAAAGACTATATTTGCGTGACGGGTATGCCTGGATCTCAGGTTCTACCTGAGACCACACTTTTTCTGTGACATATCTATGATGTCTTGATGATGCATCCTGAGATGTATTATGGGAAACTT